AGTGCTAGTGAACGAATCTTGAACTGACACGTAGTGACACATGGTATCCTCTGATCTAGTACAGTGAGTGAACGAATCTTGAACTTTTAGACTAGAGGTTTAAACCTAGCGACACACATCACACCATGGATCTTGTGTAAATTCCGTAGAAAACTACATCTATATATATAGCCCAACTGAACTTCGGTTGCTCATGAGTGCTCTAGAAAGATAGCTCATATCTTTCAACAAAGGCGTCTAACCCTTTTCACTCAAGTAGGTGATTTTCTTAAGTCTATCTCAATATAGACTATACCCCAATTAGGGCATCAATTATATATATTAAGTGGTGAATTCATTAAGTCCATCTCAATAGGACCACCTATCTCATAAGGTTATAAATTCATTAAGAGCTGTTGCTCAACATCACCAGTACACACACACCATAGAATGACCAATTGGTGTACTACTTTGTGATTATTTCCATGGCTTCGTTTGACCACAAAAGTGGAGTCCACCATGAATTCATCACCTCTTGAGCTTTAAGCCATTTCATCAATAATTTAACGACTAACATCATAATTAGTCTTCTCTAATAAAGTAGATCATCTCGATCAAACTTACGTACACTTTAACGTGTACTTTATTTATTCATAAACAATTCCCTTGAAATTTTCATGTTCAACATGAAACATTCTCTTTTACCATTATTTTCGGTACCACAAAGAGACTTATAGGAAAGAAATATATAAAGAGTTAATTACCCCCACAATGCAATACTTACAAATACCTTTCTCAAAAATATTTGATCTCTTACCCAGATTGATGTTTGGTGCCAAACATTGACTCCTTACTGATCAAGTTTTGCATATTTGTTTTGTGAAACATTATAGTTGCTCCACACTTTAATTAATACATACTTAATAATTGAATATATTTCAACAAACTTGGTTACCTCAACCCACCATAATTACACTTTAAACAGGAATTATAAGTATTTCAACCAAGATTTTAAATAATATATATATAAATGCTCATTGCTCGTAAGCCACATAAATAATGTTGTTTGCATGTTATTTCAAATTAAACAACATAATCACAAATTTCACATAATTTTATTGAGATTAATTAATCTCATTTTCAAAGAAATATATTCAAACTAACGTTTATTAGAAATGATTTATTTGCATAAATTTCAACAAGGTAAATTTAACATATAATAGCTTTATAACATTTAAAGCTGGTCCAACTTCACCATTTTTCCTTCCCTTGAGGAAATTGATAACTCATATATAGCATTGATATAATGCAAACCAATCAAATTTCATATTTATTCGAAAAAGAACACATAGTCCTCACTTATGAAAATTTAAATCAACGCTATTATTACACCACTTATTTCCAAGGCTTAGATATTTTAACATCATGTGAAAATCAATCTCATTTTAGGTGATAATCAAGTAGCGCTCTACATGATCAACACGCTCTCAAGTCTAATGGTGAAATCGAAAAAAAACCATCTTTCAAAAATGATTTAAGCTTTATTGAGAATTTGACTCTTCCCTATACAAATAAATTTCAACAATTTAAACTAGCCTTTGATATGTGCTTGTAACCATTATAAAACTAAATTGAGTACATGCTTCATATTTCTAAGGTAATGAAAGAATAACATATATGCATCTCATATATATCCCCAATTCATTGCATGTTAATTTAAATAACATGCAATGTGATTTTTCATTTGAAAACAAAAATCACAAAATCACTATAATGCTTTATTTCACGCACCTTACATATATCACCATAATTATATTCCCAAGTGTGTAAAACCACATAAATTAAAGAGGTATATGTGATATATAAAGCATTACCTTAAAAATGTAATAGGTCGGAACTGAGTTGTGAAACATTCTGAAAAAATAACAACCTTACATGCATGTATCACTTCTTAGTTATACAAATCTCGTATGTTTCGGCGTCGGGACCCTGGGTAGTCATGCAGCTATGGAGACTTGCACCAACTGAAAAAAGTCATCAAGTTTTGCCTAATATCCTCCATAGATCAGGCCCATAGATTCACAACTTTGTTTATTGATCAAACAAATTGGTGTTATAAGGGCAGAACTTGCTTAGATCATGATTCATACTGCATGTAAACATAACACTTTTACTCCATAAGGATTAAGGAACTAGTATTGATAATTTTATCAAGGTGTAAAGATCCATATACCTTGTAAGAGTAATAGTATTTAAATTAAAAAGCTTGCATAATACTTAGCTTAATTAAGGAGGATGCATTAGACCCATATACACTTAGCTTCAATCGTGCTGCCAGGATATGATACTGCATACTGCAAAGTATAGAAACCGAAACCATGCATCATCAAGTTGACCCTAAAATTTAAGTTTCAAATGGTCAGAATCTCTCCAGTAGCAGCAGAATCATTCAACTCATCCGCAGCAAGCGCCATGGTTCATTTTTCCACCTCCTCCTCTTCACAGCCGTTTCACAAGAAATATTGACTGCATTTATTCAACGGTTTCCACAGCCGTTACCGCTGCCCACAACGTCACCACCATTCTCGAAGGCCACCCGGAATACAACCAGTTCATCATCGACTACCTCTCCCGAACTAAGCTGGCCGACGAGATCAACAGCAATGCGCTTGGGAACTTGGGCTTCGTCAACATTACGGATCAGAAAGGTGGGAAATTAAAGTCAGGTTCGGATATGCTCTTCCCGGTTCGCCATTGGCGTCTCTGTACACCAAGTCTGTTAAGCAACGTGATCATCACCTACAACATAACCTGACATCAACGTTCACCGTTTATGGCTTCACTGTAGTGTTGGTCTTCAAACTCTCATTTAGTTACGACAGACACTGTATTGGAAATCGCTTTTAACTGTTGGAAATCAAAACAATGTCGACCAGAAAAATACAGGCTTGAAAAATTAGAAAGAAGAAACTTGAAAATGTCTGTGGCGTGTTTATAAAACACTTCTTTAAAAGCCATTTTCCTGTGACGGTGTAGTCAGACTTTCCGGCACACTTTCGACTGGCAACACAAACCTGCTACACTTAGCTTACACCAACTATTGCATAGGTGAACCTAGCTTTGCTCAGAGGAAGACAAAAGTAGAGAGAAAGGCTATGTAGAGATTGTGGTTTTCTTTCACTACGTTGGACGCTGCTTATATAGTGTATAAAATAAAAGCAAGCTCCATTTTCATCCATGGATTAGCGTAGGAGTAGGGATGTGATGTCGAGAGTGTTACACGTGCCCATGACCTCCCTCATACATGGGCAAGGTGAACAAACTGATCCAAAATAGTAAGCGCATGAAAGAATGACTATTTTGAATGTATTTCCAACAGATAAGGTATGCATAAATCATACAAGAATCATGATCCAAAATGTGTTTTATGAGGAGAAACTCACTTTACAACATTGAGACAGTTGATGAATGTGTTTCGATCGGAAGAACTATGATCTCCTTCTTGGCATCTTCAATCCAGATGGCTGGCTCGAGATCACGTATCTTCTTTTTTTTTTTTTTTTTTTGTGTGTTGAGTTTCGATATGCACTCGAGATCACATATCAACAACATTAAAAATATTATTAAACACAATAAATAAATAAAAAATATTAAATAAAACAAGCAAATAATAATTAATTTGAAAAATAAATAATAAACAAAACAAGAACAATGAGACATTGAAAGTATTAATTTAAAATTTAAAAAATATCTAAATTGGCATAACTCATTTAACTCATATATCTCAAAATATCAAATATGTGTACACTAACGCTTATAATATAATGAAACAAATCTCTAACAATTCTAGAATTTGAAGCAACACAATATAATGTATTACCAATGAAGTAGAATGTCATCCTTGTTTTGACAGGCGTTTGGTTGGGAGGAAAAGAATTGTAATTCGATGGAAAAAGAAAAATGTAAAATAAAGTATGAATTCAAATTATATTATTTAGTAGTGAAATTTGAACTCATACTTTATTCTACATTTTTATTTTTCCACCAAATTATATTATTTGATAGTGACTAAAGACATTATAATCAAATGACATAATTGTAACTTTCTCAAATGAAAGTCTGCGTTATAACTAAGTCCGTATAAATAATACAATTTTTTCATAGGTCAAAGAATTGCATTAGAATTGAATTGTCATTAAATTCTACCAAACACACCCCTGGATTATTAACGTCATTGAGCTAAACAAAATATTTAAAAAAAAAAAAAAAAAAAAAAAAAAAAGGTGTAGATTACCTGCAATAGCCGGTGAGAAGAGTCAATTCTTGCATTTGGCATGAATTTAAGTTTCATTTCATTTAGCCCCCACGGCCAACGGCCCACCCCACCCCAAACCTAACCACAGTTAGTTTAACCCTACAATTGACCCGGCTCTGGATTTATTTAAACACAGACTAGCTTGGTTCTGAACTGGTTTTACTCATCTCTCTCCCCTCTCTCTTTTTCTCTCTCTGTTTTTCAAAACCATTATTCTTCAATATCAATACTCTCCAGACCCTTAATGATGAGAGTGTAGAATGAAAGAGTGTGGGTGGGTTTCATTTCTTGTAATTTGCTTGTGTTTTTCATGAGTTGTGAGGTGGATGAAGTAGCATTGTTATTAACACTTAAAAATGGAGTCTTTCTGCTCAAACCAGAGGGAAAAGGCTTTCATAATTCCAAGAACCAAAAAGCATATATAATCTAAACAAAGAGTGCTCCGATCTGAACTCTTGAAAATGTTTTTGATTGAGTTTTTTCCCAGCGGCAGCCACTGGGCAGCTCTGATTCCCTGGGCGCTCTCATGTCCATCTGTCCACCCACTACAGGTGCTTATTATTATTACCAAAATTCCCCACTCACAATCTTTTATTCTCTTTCAATGGTGTTCTTTCAAGATTCAAAAATGCCCCCATTAATGAAATTCTTTCTTTTTGGTCAATGGAGTGTAGTTTCTCAAAATCATAACAGTTTGTTTCCAGTTATGGCAAGTTTTGTGTGGTTGGGTGTTCCCTAAAGTGTTGGGTTTGAACTTTGAATTGCAGATGATCCCAGTCAATCAGTCGATGTTGGAAGGGCTTGACGAGGAAGAAGGCGGCGGCGGTTGAGTGTGGACCAAGTGAAGGCTTTGGAGAAGAATTTTGAGGTGGAGAACAAGCTGGAGCCGGAGAGGAAGGTGAAGTTGGCCCAGGAGACAGGTGGCGGTGTGGTTCCAGAACCGCCGCGCACGGTGGAAGACCAAACAGCTGGAGAGAGACTACGGCGTGCTCAAAGCCAACTATGAAACTCTGCAGCTTGACAAGGAATCACTCCTCAAACAAGTATGCCAAACAAACCAACAAAATTCTATGAATTTCGCCTTTTGTTGTTTGTTTGTTTTGGATCGGTTTTAATGGCAGTTTTTTTTATAATTTTATCTTCAATTCTGCAGATTTGCGACCTGAAAGCAAAACTAAACGGAGAAATGAAGGAGGAGGGAATGGAGTCGGAGGGCAAGGATGCAAAGCCAAACTCCGATGAAATAGAGCTGAATGGCGAATTTCAAAGACGGGTCATCGGACAGCGATTCCAGCGTGATCCTGAACGAGGAAACCAGCAGCTACCACTCCTCGGAGGCGTTCTTGATATCCCACGAACCCTTCCCGGACTGCTTCAAATTGTCGGAGCATTTTATGCTGGCGACGGCCGTTTTCGCCGACGCCGCCGTCCATAAGCTGGCGTATCCGCCCCTACAGCTCGTGAAAATTGAGGAACAGTTAAGCAGCGAGGAATCATGCAGTACTCTGTTCTCCGACGAACAAGCTCCTACCCTCCCCTGAGCCTGATCCTGAGAGCTGGAATAACTGGAAAGAAGATGAACAATAAAAGAAACAAAACAATGAAACGCCGTTTAGTTTCTTGAAACTCCGACGTGGCGCCGGCCGGGTGGAATTTTTGTATAGTAATGTTAAGACTTAAGATTAGTCTCTGTATTGTAGAAAACGAAGATGTTTCGCATCTTGGCATAAGATTCAAGAAATCTGAAGAGCTGAAAAATAAAAATTAAAAAAAATGGCGGAGTTGAATGACGTAAGGGGTTGTGACGCGGTGGCGCGGCCGCACAGATTATACATTTTAGTATTGCATTAAAAAGGAGTAGTTATGCTGAGCATCCGTATGCACCATGGTGCATACAGATGCAAAAACGACGTCGTTTTATAAAAACGCGCGTCTTTCGTTAAAAAAAAAACAATCAAGTTCGATTTCCAGCAACATCATTATGTTGTTATTCATTATGGAATTTTAGTTCATAGATTATGAAATTTTAGTTCATCGATTCTGGAATTGTAGTTCATCGATTCTGAAATTTTAGTTCATAGATTCTCGAATTTTAGTTCATTCATTCTGGGAATTTTTAGTTCATAGATTAAATTCTCAAAGTTTAGTTCATAGATTCTGGAATTATAGTTCATAGATTCTGGAATTATAGTTCATCGATTTTGAAATTATAGTTCATTCATTCTGAAATTTTTAGTTCATAGATTAGATTCTGGAATTTTAGTTCATAGATTCTGAAATTATAGTTCATCGATTTTGGAATTATAGTTCATCGATTTTGAAATTTTAGTTCATATATTGTTGCTGAGAATCGAACCTGATTTTTTTTTAAGGGGAGACGCGCGTTTTTAATAAAACGACGTCGTTTTTGCATCCGTATGCACCATGCATGATGCATACGGATGCACAACATAATTTGCCATTAAAAAGAGCGCCATTTAACACTTAGGCGCAACAAGCCACAACATCCTTTACTATAAGTCCCAATAGAGCAAGCCCAGAGGGCTAACGAACCTAGAAAGACTTATCAGACTTATATCATTCTTCATTCCTTGATTAGTCAATCGTGAGGACCTAGGATTGTCAGGTGGCCTAACGACAGTTTGTGGGTCTACCTTAGTAGGGTCTTTTATTAGTTTAGAGGATTGTTCGATCGGTTTGGAGGTAGTAGGTCTTCCACCTCTAACTGGAAGGGAAATATTTAGTGTAATTCTATTTTATACTCTCAACTTTTATTTTTTCTCACATGTTCTTGATGTAAACACTTTTCTGTGAACTCACATGATGAAAATTAACTAATTTTTATTTGCCACATCAAAAAGTACAAGCAAGGGAGTAGAATTTTAACTGGAATACCTTGATGTCATTCCAAAGTTCATGGTGGGCGACCCGTGGTTGGAGAACATTCCAAAAAAAAAAAAAAAAAAGGAGCAAACATAGATTAGAATGTACTAAGGGGGTGTATTCAATCAAGACTTTTAAAGAGTTTCAAAGACTTTTAAAGTGATGGATTTTAAATGACTTTTATAGAGATTTTGTAGACTTTCATAGAATCGTTTAAACTTTCATCAATTTTGTAAGAGTCTTTAAAAATTCATAGGACAAATATTTATAGACTTTGAAAAACATTTTCATATTAAAAAGTCTACAACAGTCATTAAAACTCTAAATTGAATACACCCTTACAAACATTTCATAAGAAGAATGTCGTAGATTGAATAACTCAACATCATTTTCAGAGTCATGACCTTGTCCGAAAATATCTTGGAGATGATATCATACACCTCGAATTAGTGGGCAACAAGCTGGAGTGTGATTATGGCTCTTTTTAATGCAATTACTCAAATGGCATCCAAAAGTAAAATACTATACCAAATGTATTTTTCAAATGTAATCATTATGCTGATTCATAATATATATATATATATATATATATATATATATATATATATATATATATATATTCTGCCCCGCACCCGCACCTGCACCCGCACTTATATATATTATTATTAGTATTAATTTATTATATAAATTATGTATATTTTATAATTAAAAATGTAGAATGAATTAAACTTCTTAGTTTTTTTTTGTTTATGAAAATTAAATAGGAATAGCACAAATAACATAATGAGTAAACACTTAATACAATTTATACTACCAACACAATTTTAGTTCCAATTCAGGATTAACTTCATTGGCTCTGATTAAATTTTAGAGTTATGTTCAAACTTATAAAAAAATCCATGTGATAACTAGAATTGTAATATAAAACTTTTATTAGATTTAAGTCTAATATTAATAATTAGAGTTGCAAGTTGGGTATTACCCGCACCCGCAAAATTCCCGTGAGGACGGGTATGGGGTAGGAGTTTCATTACCCGCGCGGGTGCGGGTGCGGGGGCGAGGATATATCCCCGCACCCACCCTGCCCCATTGCCATTCCTAGCCGAATTTATATATTAATAAATCGTAATTATTTATACTCTAATAAAAAAGCAAAGCAATTAACTATATTATTATTATTATTATTAAAAAAAAAGTCAGAAGTGGGAACTTGAATCTTGACTCTTGAGGAATAAAAGCAGGGGATCCGATCCATCGACACAGTAATAATCATAACAACAATAGTATAGTTATATTATACAAGGTGGTGTCAGGAACATTTACGGCTGTACGCTTGTTATCAATTTTGAAGTAATTAGGGCATAAATTGTTTTTATTGACACCCATGCTTAAATTTGGCTATATTACCCTTAGATTTAACACCCACTTGACAAAAATTATAATGGAGGACTATTTGTAGTCAAAAATGAAAGTTAAGGTATATGTTTTGGTCGAATTAAAAGTCGAGGGCTAAAAGGAGTACTACTCCAATAGTCAGAGGAGCATTTGTAGTATTAAAAATATTTTTTTTAAATTATAATTTTACTTTGAAAAAAAATGAGAAATATGAAGGAAAAGGAGAAACCTCTAGAGAAGGAAGTTTGCCTTAAGAATTCATCTATGCACTCCATTTCTACACTGGATTTATTTATAGGCACTTTAACACTGTCACGCACCTCAAGAGTGAAGCAGTGGACCTTAGTTCAACTAATGATATACCAAAACATATATAGGAGTTATTATAATTTGAAAATACTCAAAAAGTAACAATTTTTAGTAGGTTGCATTTAATATTTTTAGATACCTTTTCTCGAATACTAGGGTATACAATCATAGTTTTTCAGTTCTTGTTGATTTAAAATGGAATAAGGTTCAAATTGATCATTGAATGTAACCTGAAAATGCAACTAGGCCACTGAACGAAAAAAAAAAAAAAAAAGAAGAAGAAGTACAATTAGACCACTGAGCACTCCAAAAACGTGTAAGGTCACTGAACACTTCAAATGTATGCAATTTCACCGTATAGCAGGTTACCATCAATTTTAACCGTTACCTGCTTGCGTGGCAGCTGAGTTGACATTTTTAATAATTTTTAATAATTTTTTTTTAAAAAAACATTAAATAAAAAATAAAAATAAAATAAAATGACAGGGCGGCCACCCCGTTGTTTTTTTTTTTAAAGAAATTTTTTTTATTTATTATTTTTTAAAATTTATTTAAAAATTATTAACAAATGCCAACTCAGCTACCACGGAAGCAAGTAATCTGCTAAAAGTGATGGTAACCTGCTATCAGGTGAAATTGCATACATTTGAAGTGTTCAGTAGCTTAATTGCAATTTTTTTTTTGTTTCGTTCAATGGCTTAATTGCATTTTTGTGTTACGTTCAGTGGCCAATTTGAACCTTATTCCATTTAAAATATAGACCTTCAAAACCCTAGCCCTCCAAATTAGGGGATATTACTTTATTGTTCCAAATAAAATTTGCTTATGCAGCATAATCATTAACTAATAGGAAAATGAATGTTCTTGCTGTTATCATAAGGATTCTTTAATCGTTTCTTCCTTATTATTAGTATTTTTAGTTCATCTAATATTCATTAAAAGACTTTCTGTTTTATTATTCAATAGATATATTTTACGTCTACATTGAATTTCGAAAACATAGCTAATACTCCGTCTACATTGAATTTCGAGAACATAGTTAATACTCCGTCTGTATTGGTTTATGTCCTATTTACTATTTATTGGTCACATCTTCTTTCCTCACTTATTTTCTTTAAAATATCTTTATGAATCTATATACTGGCACAACCTTCTATTAAAAAAAGTATTAGTTTATAATCAACCTTCCAAATTGTGCTCTGATATGTCTAATTTTCTCTTCAATTGGACTTCAATTCTTAGAAAGTTAAATGTGAACCAAGTGGAGCACTGGGGCTCTGATAAACCTCATACACCTACTGGCAGTTATTTACTCTTGGGAATGCAGAAAGAAGAAACTAGCAATAAACTTTATTACAGAGAATAAAAATAGCAAATATCAAAGAAATCATTCCAAAACACCTTCTACTAGGTTTAAATCCCATACCTTAAATGATCTTGTGTTGGCAATCCAAAGTCCAGCTCTCAACCACTCCCACCATCTCCTATCTTTTTAGCTGAGGCACAGATCCTGTCATTTTGGAAATGGTAACTTCTTGTTGAGCGTCGAATCAGCCAAGTTCAGCCCTTGCTTGATTTGATATGTGGCGATGTGGCTTAACATGGAGGAATGTGGTTAAATGGTTAATATTCACTTATCACCAATTGATTTTAAGAAAGAAATGACAACCAGATAACCAAAAAACTATGTGGACTTACAAGATGGATGACCTACTGGGGAGTGAGCAACTAAGCATAGTGCAGCGCTAAGATCCAACACTTTTGCTTACAATGCTTTTCAGTTTCAATAGCTTGAGTATCTCTGTCATCATAAAATCGAGTTGAGGCACAGCCCAAGCTGCCAAAAGAATTGAATAATTAAATAGAAGTTTAACAGAGAGCAGTAGCTTTATGTTACCAACAATCAGAATATTGTAACAAGACTTTCAATGATAGAGACCAGGTCTCCTCCCTGCAATAGTTTAGCCACCATTGAAATGAAAAGACCAGAATTGCACTCTAGAAACAAAGAGAGTACTGATATCCTGCAAAGCTGGGAAAGATTTTCTGAGGTATGCCAGGGGTATACTTAGCACAAGCCCAAAAAATACATGTACACATCACTTATAGCTTTCATCTTAGGCAAAAAATAGTTGGAATGTTTTTGTCGAAGCAAATTGAGGTAAGAGAGAAGTAAGGTCTAAATAGAGCACCTAAAATAGAAAAACCAAAGGCTAAACAACTTATATAGATGAGTATATACTGAAAATGCCCATGAGCAACATCTTGAAAGCCAAAAACTGCTTACAATATATTCCCACCACCATGAACATTTATATGAAATAGGATGACAAAAAATAAAGCTACAGTCAATGTATCTTACTATTCCTTTATGGTGGTTATGCCAGGATCGGAATTGAAGCTGCAGCCTGATACATGCTGAGGAAGTCTTATTTTATTATATTAAATAGTTTAGATATTAATAAATTACTAAACATGATTCCCGGCAACGGAACCAATGTTATGCGCTCCCGTCATGGGCACGGAATCATAAGGAAAAAAGAAAGAATATTAATTGGAAAAGGAAAAGAAAAAGACACTGGGTTTGCTTGAGACCCAAAACTCCCTTTGACCCTTTTTTGGGATTAAATTCTGCTTGCTATATTATTCCAAATAACACTCCCTTTTAAAGGTTGATTACAAAGGTTCCTAAACTAAGAATAATTATTTGGTAGTTTCTAAATAATTAATCTACCTAAACTAATTTTGAAGACTAAGAGTAATAGGCTAAATAACTATTTAGTAATTTCTAAATAACTATTTATTAGTATCTAAACTATGTAATATAATAAAATAAGACTTCCTCAGCATGTATCACGGCCCCTTGCAGATCAGACAAGGATAAGATTGCCATGTTGACAACTTCTGATCTGGTGGTGATGAGGACTCATTTCTAGATCTTTGTGTTGTAGAGTTGGAAGGTTTCTTGTAAATCCCACCCCAACTGTGCGGGTGATGCCAAATAAATTATTAAAAGCAAGCAAGTTTTTGTGTTTTCTTGTGTATACATTCTCTGGCTTCACAATATCTTTGAGAGAGGAATATGAAGACACATCTGGTTTTACCAAGATAAATTTTTTATATACCTCTCCTGGAAATATGTGGACTATGAAGCAAGCAGAACACTCTATTAAGCATTGTCACCTAGAAATAAACATTAACTAGTAAAAGAAAATTTCACCACATGTGAAAGATACAAGGAAATGTCCAATGATTTCAACTTCAATATATCGAAGCAGAGAAATAAGCAGTAGTAAAGATTGCAGCATTTCAGAAAATATCAAGTTCCTTTTGCATGATCAAATGTGGACCAAATATCTGGATATATTTTTTTATCATATAATTATATTTTCACTTAACCATCACCTAAGAACATGATCCAAGCATCACAAAGAAAATACTCCAGATGCAAGTCATTGTTCATATTCTTCTTGCCATCACAATACTTGTAATTTAGACTTCTCTCATTCAGGAATAGTAGGTCATGCCAATACAAAAATTATCGTAATCAATGTTTTTTAAAAAAATAAAAAATAAAAAATTGGAGTACTTCTTTCTATTGGTCAGGATCTATGGCATGCACTGCCCATATATTGAATAATGAAACTTTTGTAGGTTCTTGTGCAGTATTTTATCTTTCAAAAATCCCTTTTTATTGTGTGTGTAACATTATGATAAAATATGCAAGTTACATAAATGATGATGCAATACACATCACAAGATAACATTAACCTATATAATTTCGATTCTAATGAAGTAAGCTCATAATTTCAACCCTTTACAGCCACTCAAACATTAGTAAAGACAACACATGTATCTATTTCTTAATCCACATCATACTGAATACAGAAATGCACAATCAATAGTACACTATACATAAATAGAATGCACAAAGTCGTAAAATTGTGGTAATAAGAATCGTCAACATACATTTAACTGCAATTAAATGATGTGCATTTACTAACACAGAAACCTAACTATAACATCAAAGAGTTTATAAAGCTGCGAGTGTGCTTAGCTTTTGCCTTTAAGGGCAGAAAAAGAGCAGAGATGAGATTTCTACTAAAATTCAATTTCAGAGCCCCTCTCAGTTATAGTAAATTTGTCAAATTTCCTTGTCTCAATAATCTTTGACTTTTAAAACATTATGAAAAATAAAATTGAAACAATGCAAAATATTAGACCTCAATAGCCATTCTTTACACAATAAAAGAACACAAGAATAGGAACAGGCACATCCTGGAGCACAATAAAGTATACTCCAGGATACCCTGCATAGCACCACATTACAAGCTCAAGTATTTTCTTTAATTTTTGTCTCAAAGAAACTACACATTGTGTTAAAACACAGCACTCGGGAAGTTGGGAGTGCAAAAGATAGCTTTGTATGACCAAATTGCAGAGAATGGTGTACCTTTTAGATGACAGCTTGAGAACATATAAAGCACATATGACATATTAAGGTGTTTCATTCTCTTTTCGGTTGATGATGTTTGCTAAAGAGAAAAAACAAGGCAACTATTTGAAATATAGGTGCAGAATCAAATCCGTGGGGCAGCTAGAGATCAGCTAATCTCTAAGTTTTCTGTGAATCTAATTGAAGATGGAGATGAAGTAAACAACTTAAGCAAGACTGTACTACTACGAATACCTATTCCAATTTTCGCACTAAAAAGAATAGTGTGCAATGAAATCTCACAACCATGGTCAGGCTGTGTAGTAACATAAGAATAAATAGAAAATTAACAAATGGAATAGCTGCTAAAATTATAAATTAAAAATGTAACAATCCAAGATTTGGGAAAGAAGTAAATATGAGAAAACTTTGAAATCCTGCAGGTAAAGAAAACGAAATCTCATACACTATAAAATCAAATTATTATTCATTAAAATAATGTCAAGTTAAAATGTCATATCTCATAATAAACTAAGTCTCTAAGCTCCTCAAGAAATCAGGCTATGAGTAAATTATGTTTGTATATCATAATAAAATGAACCTCAAGAAAATATTTGATCCTTGTCTTAAGCCTCAGCAGTCGCAGCCTTGGAACTCCTAAAATCCCTCTTCAAGTGAGTTACTCTCTTCATGCAAGCAGCCTTGGTTTTCCCTGGCACAGCTGCAGTAATCTTCTCCCACCTCATTGCCACATCCTTAGGAAATGCCTTCAATGCATTAAGAAGAGCTAAATCCTCCCCGCTACTCCACACACTATCGTTGTTCTCTCTTGTTGATTCCGAAGAAGCCTCCATTTTTTCTGCGTTTTCGACCTCCATGCGCTTATCTACCTGCTTTCGGTCCTTGAGAAATTTCTGATACGAATCCTCATTGCTCCTTCTCTTCTCTCCCAATTCTTTCGCCTTCCTGATCACACTCTCCACTCTATGCCGCCCCTTAAACCCCTCCTCCGCTATCGCCTCCCATCTTCCCGGCTTGCCCACAGGATGCTTCCCCAACAACTTCCTCAACACCTCCACATCTCCTTCGCTCCAATCCTTCTCCTCCACCACTCCATTCCCCAATTTCAATTTCCCCTCACTTTTCTCGGTCGACCCGTTGATCTTTACGGGTTCTGGAGCATGGGTGGCAATAGACCCAGATCCGGATTCAATGGACTTCCTAACGGGTTTCCCTGATCTCTTACCGGATTTCTTATTTTCAGGCTCAGCATCAATGGGATCGTTGAATTGGACAGGAGGGCCGACCCCGACACGGATATCGCCGGCGGTGATGGACAGCGGCGCAAAGGGGCCAATGAGGAGGGAAATTGAAAGCCATAAAAGGATGGATCTCAGAGGCTCAGAGGTGAAGTAAAATAGGGAGAGAACAAGAAGAGGGATGGAGAGAGAGAGGGAGATGAAGAGAGTAGGTCGGTGTAGAGAGGGTTTTAGAGGATGTGAATCGTCGTCGGCGGCGGCGGCATGGGATTGAGGTAAGGGCTTGGAGTGGAGGACAAATCTGGGTCTGGCGTCCTCGTCCAGAAACTCCATGGTCAATGTCTCCCTCCTGCTGCAAAAAGAAGATGGTTAAATACTTAAATGTTAAATTGGAGAAAATAAATAAAATTTCCATACACTTTATATCAAGCAAAATATATAAATAAAATAAAAATATACATACAGTTGCTATCAAGCAGTATAATAAGGAAAATAAAGTTTATGGGAGAAGGAAAATAAAGTTTAAACACAGTGGTGGTTCTCAAAAAAAAAAAAAAAAAAAAAAAAAAAAAAAAAAAAAACAGTGGTGGCTTGATGGTTATTTAAACATTTGATAGATATATTAGGAGCGTGTCCGGAGCAAACTAATTTGAAGAAGCGGGGCGAGGCGACCGAGTCGACTTCTAAGGTTGGCTCCGAAGCCAGCCTCAAACGACCAAGGCTTGGTTTTGAAGCGGGGCACGGGTGAGACGTGTGGACGTGGTCAAAGAGCCTTAACCGCCCACCCTTTTATCTTAGGACAATTACAATTTGAGCTCAATACAAGCTTGGTCTTGAAGCGGGGCACAGGTGAGACGTGTGGACGTGGTCAAAGAGCCTTAACCGCCCACCCTTTTATCTTAGGACAATTACAATTTGAGCTCAATACAAATGCTTTCCTATTTGTCTTGTTAAGACATCATCACTTACATTGTAATCACATGACAAGAGTTCTTAGCCAACACTTTGTCTCCTTAATCCCATTTGTCTTCTTAAGCTCAACACTTTATTTATTTATTTATTCCTTAATTATTGGTTTTGGTTAATTCGGTCCACCTAGATTAATTAATTCCATCATTGTTGTTTCATTGAGAACTCGACATACAAGCTCGAGCGTGTTACTATCTATGGCGAGGTCGAGGTCCAACTCTCGCAACTCTCACAATTTTCTCAAACTCATGTCACCTCGAGCCGAAATAGCCTCAATAGGACTACAAGTCGACTCCATGAGGTCCGCAGGGGACCTACGAGACCAGCTCAATAACAATTGCAATGATGGGTCAACTTCTATCGCCCCACCTACGGCATCAAGCCTCCAAGACAAGGTGGTCACGATCTAATAAGTTCCTCTTTGAGGGGCTCCAAGGAGTGGTGCAGCCCCTCCCCTCAACGTTGGGAGCAATTTGATTTTTTTGTGTTTTGGTCTTCATGTGTGTATTATATTTTCTTCTTTCCAGTTCCATACATTCATATATATTTATCTATTTCTATGTTGAATTTTTTCCTTCAAATTTTGTGTATGTATATGTATATGTGTGAAATGTACAGTAGCAATCATTATTGTGTGGATCATGGTCCACACAAACTGTATGAATCATATTTTGTATATTGTAAAATAATACTGTAGGGATGAAAATAGGTCGGCCTGATAAGAGCTTTAGAAAATTAGGCATGGGCCTGTATGTAAGCTTTTCCAATTGGTCTGGCTTAGCTTGAATTCTGTTTTCATATGTAGGCCATTGATTTTTTTTAAAATATATTTAATACTCGTTGTGCATCGGGAAAAAAAGTAGTGACAACTGACAACCAAGGTTGTAAAAGGTCGGCCGCCTAAATTTTCACTGTAATCGATGTTCTAGGCAGCCGGCAGCCTAGGCAACCAATTAGCTATTGTTTAATTTTTTTTTTTAAATGGATTATTTCACTCAAAATAGTGTCGTTTTGAACAAAATAATCCTAAATCGTTCAAATCAGTTGCAAACCCAAAAAAAATAAAAATGAAATCATTTACTCTAATATTGATACTTTGTAAGTTGTGCTTTTGATGCGGCTAGGGGTGTGCATCGGACGGTTCGGGCGGGTTCGGGTAGCGGGAATGGGAATCCGTTCGGTTCTCGGATTACCGATATTGAATCCTATCCGTGTAATTTCTAAGTACAAACTTTTCGGATATGTAAATCTCGGATATCGGGCGGTTTTCCTCGGATTACGGGCTAAATCGGATATGAAATAAAAATTAATAAAAACAACAAATTAACTACTAAATGAGTAAATCAACACTAAATAACTAAATAAGTTGTAACTTGTTAACTTCTAAGTAGTTAACAATTTACAACTTCAAAATTACAAGTTCACAAATCACAAGTACAAACTAACTTGTTACAAGTTAATGAAGCTAACAACTTTACAGCTTTGTACTTACAAGTTACAATTCAAAAACAGTTTATAGATTCAATTTCTCCCAAAAAAAGCTGTTAAAAGTGTTAAGGCACCATTCAAAAACCAAATGCAGCAACATCCAACAGCAATCACTCCAACCAGCAACTCAGGCATCATCAGCATTCCTCATCTTCCTGCTTAAGTTGCAAATTTAAATAGCAAATAACAAAAACAAAAAAAAAATGGAAAGAATAACAGTTTAATATTATTTGCTAAAAAATCCAAAATAGGCTCAGATTGCTGTTGTTTCATATCATTAAGATTTGAGGGAAATTGCTTCTAAAGTTTTGGAACTAAATCCAAATCTTGAGCAACATACCAACCTCAAGTCCTTTGATTCAGACAAAGGTGGAAGCATCATCATAGCCCATACTACTACACATACCTGTAACCTGATGTTCAAATGTTCAATCAAGTGGAACTGTGGATAGGGGCTGAGGCACTAAAATGCAATTACATAATTGAATTCATAAGCTATAAATAAAAACAGAATGGTAATCTAATTTTCTAAGAGAACAGAATAAGTGAATAACAACTAAATATAAAGCTGAGAGCAGAATGAATGAACATTACTACAATGGTTGGTAGGGAAGTTTTAGTAGTCCTAATTCCAGTTGGCAACTCTGCAAAAAAAAAAAAAAACACGTTAATTATCATACAAATAATGAAATAAATACACAATAATGAAAGTATTTAAGTAAACTACTATTACCTTTCTCAAGCCTTTCACAATCATCAATATTTTCTTCAATTTGAATAGGTTGATTTGGTAATCTCAACCAATCCTGTGTACAAATTAAAGCTTCCACAATCTTAGGAGTTAAGGAACTCCTAAATGGATCCAACACTCTACCACTGGTTGAAAAAGCACTTTCAGAAGCCACAGTGGATATTGGAACTGCAAGAATATCCCTTGCCATTTTAGAGGGAATTCGCAGTCTTTCAGAGTTCACCTTCCACCATTTGAGGATATCAAAATCAACCTTATCTTCCACAATGGCCTCACTCAAATATATTTGCAGGTCAGTCTGTTTTAGGCTTCCACCACTCTCCATCCTTTTCCTTTTCAATTGAGATTTCAGCTTACCTTGTGGCCTACCAACAGTTACAGCACTAGGCTGCACACTCACAGAGACAGTTTGAGAAGGTTGGCCAACAGCAGCTGGTTCAGGGTTCACATCCACAGAGTAAGTGGCAGCATAATCATTGTACAGCTCAAGAAGTGCAGATTGGATCTTCTCAAAACAGGATTTTCCTTTTTCATCACCATATAGTTGAGTTAACTGGGCAGGCATGTACTCAACCTTATCTCTAGGATCCAAAATAGTGCCAAAGAAGATCACACAGTTCATTTTTTCAGGGTCCCCCCAATATTTCAAAAACTTAGTTTTCATTTGGGTGCCCATTACCTGTAAATAAACAAATAAATAACATTAGTTAATAATTTAATTTACACATTTGTTAAACATTAAACATTTTATTTAAGGGATGTAATTTACCTTTCCAGGACCAGCTTCATCACAAGTCATGTCATCTAACATGCAACTAAGATCAGAGATCTCACTGAAGAAAGTGTTAGATGTAACATATAAAGAACCAGAGATTCTCACAGTCATGTCATAGAAAGTTTTTAGCAGAGTTACCAAACTTTTCACATTAAACCAATCCATAAAAGTAGGCACAGAGGCACCCAGGTCATCAGAAAATGAGGGATCATTTCCCAGATAGGCATCAAAGACTGCCTGGTACTGGATTGCAGTGTTCAACATCATATATGTGCTATTCCATCTTGTAGGAACATCCAACTGCAAAGCTGATTTGGCTTCCACCCCAATAAGTTCAGCAAGATCTCTAAATTTTTTTAGCCTTGCATGGGAGTTCCTAACTCATCTAACTGCTTCCCTAACCCTCTTAACTGAAGTATCAGCAAACTTCAACCCATCTTGCACCACCAGATTCAGAATGTGGGCTATACACCTCATGTGCATGTACTTAGACCTTACAGAAGTGGTACCCCAAGACATCAACTTACTCTTAAAAAATCCCATGGCAGTATCATTGGAAGAGGCATTGTCAACTGTTACAGTAAAAACATTCTTAATACCCCACTCAACCAGACAAGTCTCCAAGGCCTTGGCTATATACTCTCCCCTATGAGATGAAACAGGGACAAAGGCTATGATTTTTTTGTTTAGCTTCCACTGATCATCAATGAAATGTGCAGTAATGCACATGTAGTTTATCCTCTGTACAGAGGTCCATGTGTCAGTGGTTAAGCTCACTCTTTGGGAGCAACCCTTAAAGATTTGTTTAAGGACTGATCTCTCATCTAGGTATCTTTGGAAAATATCCCTTGAAACTGTCCACCTAGAAGGAATTTGGAACCTTGAGCAGGTAACTAGAATAAATCTCCTAAACCCTATCCCATCAACAAACCTAAAGGGCAACTCATCTATTATAATCATCTCACACAAAGCCCTCCTAATGGCTTCCTGATTAAACACCCATGTGCCTAATTCCCCCATTACCCCTTCAGAACCCCCTGGTGCAGAGGATGAGACAGCATTGAAAGTCAGAAGTGACTGCCTTGTATCCTTCGAGTGAGGATTTTTAAGACAGGCCTTCATATGATTTCTTAAAGATGAAGTGCCATGTTTTTTTGGCTCAGCACAAAAGATCTTAGCACAATAATTGCACCTCCCCTCAATCACATTATGCTCTTCATCATATATCTTTACAAAGTGCTCCCACACCCTGGATCTGGACTCAACCTCTTTTCTCTTTTTCTTTGGAACTACAGGAGTCACCTGAGGCTGCTGAGGTATCTCAGTGCCTTGGGGTTGTCCTTGTCCCTCTTGAGTTGAAGGTTGGGGTCCAGAACTAGGTTGACTGATGCTCTCCATCTAAAAA